GGACGAGCTCACAGCCCACCTGGTGTTAAGTGGTTACTGGAGCCCATAGACATCTACAACGTAAATGCGCCACCCACCTTGAGGTATAAGTTCTAAGATCTCAGTATAGTTACAACGGCTGCCCTACCCTTCAGACCGAAACGCATTACTGCTTCACGGCAGAAATAGGCAGGGCGGTGGTACCTACCCGTGCGGACTCCCAAGAGGTCCTACCACCAGTGTTTACGCAAATTATAATTTTGCGGGTTTCATTTTTATTACACGATGTTATTCCTTCACCGTGGAAGTCAATCGTGAACATTTGTTGAGTACGTATTTCATTAGAAAAATTGGTACCCGCCTGCGGGATTCGAACACCGGTGCATCGCTGCATACGAATGCACCGGACGTCTTATCCTTTAGGCCACGACGACTTTTTTTCTTAACTTTATGACCAATTTTATGGTAGTTGTTGATGTATATAATGCTATATCAAAATGATTGAGTCTTGGGGGCATCTTTGTTGTCCAATTTAAAACTACGCAACTAGCATTCCAGTTTAAGCAAAAAAAGCAAAAATATGTGTAATCCCTATTTACCCGGAAATTGCGGTTAATTGGGACGAAATGAGAAATTTGCTAGGGTTGGCACTACTTGGTTTTAATTTACTTATTTATTTAGTCGCACCAACAAAGTGATCATCAATAAAAAACATTGAAAAACTGACAAAAGTACATGGCAGATGTCACCTCAATTATAGGTGCAATAGACAGTGCATTGACAACAAAAATAAAAAATATATAACTAAAACTTGATTACATTTAATTATTTGTGATTAATTTATATTTACTTGGGAAAGTATCCGCGACAGGTTTTTCCTGTAAGTTGTGAGATAATTAGAAAAAACATCTATTTCATCACTTAAAGTTAGTTCAGCGGAATCGGACAACTCCGAATGAGCATTGACGGAGACCGCGCTACCGTGGACATTATTGTAGTCCCAAAGGATTCTGTTTAAGGCAGAGTAAGCGCCTAAACTCGAACGAGCGGGCTTTCTTATAAGCGGTTTATATTTCTTCGTTCTTAGTAAGTACTTAGGGCCTGATATTTTTATCTGAGTTAAGAGATTAGGTGTGTCCGTTATTCCATAGATTAATCAGGTGGATACCCCCACTTTGGACAAATATTAATATATTTTATGATATATTACTTAGACATTTTTGTCCACCTTGAGATTTCATTGTTCTTGTTACATGTCTGTGCAAAATCGACTTACTTATATTAAATTGCTTAGCTATTTCAACTAAAGACTCATTCCCAATTTCATAGGCTTCTATTGCTGTTTTTAATATTAAGGGATGATATATCTTATAAGGCTTTGCACTCTTTGATACGTACACGCGAGGCATATCCTAAAAATAGAATACAATACGTAACTGATAATATAAATATTTACCAAACAATAAAATAACACATTGATAATTTTGAATAAAAGTTCTAGACAAAAACATCATGAATAAACTAGATTTTTACCAACAAATTAAAAAAATATTGTTATAACTACATAGACAACCCTACAAACCTGTACCTATTTATACTTAGGTCGTTTCCAATTCACTTATTCTCATCCCAATTGACCCCTATTTCGTTGTTATTTGTACTTAAGACGTCCCCAATATCCCTAAAAACAACAGATTTTTACTTATATTTTTATTTTATAAAATACATTAAAACCAATAACAACTGAGAATTACCTTTAATATATATGATGGTTCAAACACTAAATAACGTTTATAAATCACAGTCGTCTTCTATTATTATCAAATAAATAAAAGAGAGCAAAGTTTCTAGCACTAAAATAATTACCACCACAGGAAGTTAATTTGAAACGCGATTTTTTATAAGTTAGCAGCTATTATCATGCATATTCAGAGTTGTTTTGTAAACTTTCAACATTCTACTATTAAACTACAAAAAATGGAAGATTTTGCAACGAATATAAAACTAATATTGAGCGTCGAAAGATTTTCCCGGTTTTTTCCCGATTCGCCTCTCAATCCCTAATCGCCCCAATTTACGGTACTTAATTCTCGTAGAAACAAATGTGTTGATTATGAATGATACATCCCGCATTCGTATAGCTTTCAATGCTCTAGCGTCCCAAAAAAACAAGAATACAAAATAGTTTTAAACAATAAAAAAAAATAAGGCATTAATTTTATTATTCGCGTCAGTTACCGCGAAATTCTTACGCACACACTTTCCAGCAAAAATGTCGTTTTTTTTTTTCTTTCTCCTTTGTAAAACAACGTATTTTCTGAGGGTCCGGCGTGGACTTAATACCTTTTTAAATAAATCAATGAGCACTTCGTAAAAGTGGTATACCATTTTCGAATTTTTTCGAACCAGTTCAAGATATCGATGATTCTACAAAAAGCATTAACAACATCAGAATACGCATGGAAGTTAAGCCGTTTTAGTTTCAAATATCAAATTCGCAAAAGTGGTATACTATTTTTTTTAAACGAAAAGCAAAAGGTTGTATGGCCAAACAGCTAGAACATACTATGAGATGTTTCGTCGGTGGGTTTCAGAACGAAACGCTATTTAATATTCAAATCTTGTATTCCAATACGGGTTAACGTTACATTTACGTTAACAGCATAAGTTATGAGTGGCTGTTTTGTGTTTATGAGATTAAAACAGCTGTTGTTGATCATAAGTACGTTGGAATTAATTCGTTCGACACAGAAGATGGGTAGGTACGTCTTCGAGATTCGTTTCAATGCGGTCTGGAAATAATGCCACCAACAATATTAGTAATATAGCCTACCTATACATAGATTACCATTAAGCAGTAGTCGCGTAGTTCTTTTAGGTTAATCTGGTTCATCATGGTTTATTAGACGTACATTAGTTTTTGCAGGCTTATATTAATATCTAAGGCCAAATAAGTGTGTTATTTAAGAATGCCCCAAAATATGAATAATTTATCGCAATACAGCGCAATTATGAAGTCATCGGGTTTTGCCACTGCAACGAATGTTTACGTCAAATTGTTGTATTTAGGTTTTATTTTTATTGCTTAGATGGATGGATGAGCTTACAGTCCACCTGGTGTTAAGTGGTTACTGGAGCCCATAGACATCTACAACGTAAATGCGCCACCCAACTTGAGATATAAGTTCTAAGGTCTCAAGTTTAGTTACAACGGCTGCCTCACCCTTCAAACCGAAACGCATTACTGCTTCACGGCAGAAATAGGCAGGGTGGTGGTACCTATCCGTGCGGACCCACAAGAGGTCCTACCACCAGTAAAAAGGTATTTAATTACTAGGTATTTAAAATATATTCTGTACTTGAATTTGTTACAAAGAAACAAGAAAAACTTAACAAAATATTATTATGTTCAAATCTAACCGAGAATTAATTTCATTTAATTTTTTATCCTGTTGATAGTTTTCAGAATATTAGAGCTAACTTTAAAAAAAAATAACGTTCCAAGACTTCACTACATACAAACATGCATACAAAATTTGGACAATACTACCTACTCATCAAAATTAATCACATTTTTACAAATCACGAAAGGCGAGTATGAAAAGTATTCTGGGCTCTTCAGAAAAATTTTCTCTTATCATACTACATAATTAATGATCATTCTTAAATGTTTTTGTGGCAGCCATTAATGCAGTATACAAAATGATTTCTCTAAGCGAGCACACAATACCTATACACAAATATTATTTTTACAGTTTGCCTTTTATTACACGATGTCATTCTTTTATTGTGTTTCATAAATGTGCACTTCTCGTAACGGTCATCTAAGAAATACAAAACGGGGCCGCGTTGCAGAATACGGCAATATTAAACCCTTCGCTAGAAGTAATAGTGTTCTGTGATTAAACCTGACAAGTGACAAGCAATCAGTGAGCGCTGTAACCTGTGACGTTTTAATACAAGATCGATAAAACTAGACTGAGTTTTTTGTGCATTCCTTAAAATATCAAGTCGTCGTGACTTAAAGGATAAATCGTCCGGTGCATTCGTATGTAGCGATGCACCGATGTTCGAATCTCGCAGGCGGGTACCAATTTTTCTAATGAAATACGTACTCAACAAATGTTCACGATTGTCTTCCACGGGGAAGGAATAACATCGTGTATTAAAAATCAAACCCACAAAATTATAATTTGCGTAATCACTGGTGGTAGGACCTCTCGTGAGTCCGCAAGGGCAGATACCACCACCCTGCCTATTTCCGCCGTGAAGCAGTAATGCGTTTCGGTTCGAAGCGTGGGGTAGCCGTTGTAACTATACTGAGACCTTAGAACTTATATCTCAAGATGGGTGGCGCATTTACGTTGTAGATGTCTATGGGCTCCAGTAACCATTGAACATCAGGTGCGCTGTGAGCTCGTCCATCCATCTAAGCAATAAAAAAAAAATTACACCCTAAACCTTTTAGCATTCAATATTTCCAGTTTGTATGGTAAATTATGATTCCACTTCCACTTTATTTCAAGGCAGCTAATGACTTTATTCATTTATCTACTATAAAAAAATTTAATACTATAAAAGAGACATGAACATCGTGATAAGAATAGTGTTTATTATGTCCATTACAATGTTTGAGTTTTAACTCTGGTTTCAACATTTAACAGTAGTAGTAGAAAGGGCTTAAGTGTGAAAAAAAAAAGAATTTCTCAATGTGGCTGTGTGGTTGCTCGGGTCCCTTCCAAATTGCCTAGAAGCCTCAATAAGTCTCCGCTAATTTACTGACAGGCTATTTTATTTCATCTTATACAACATGTACGGCTTTCTCTTATTTAACCTTATTATTCCATATGCTAATTTAAGTTTTGATATAACTTCAGGCATTGCTACAAATGTTTAAGCTATGTTGTATGGGCAGTATTCCCTCCATGCAATAGACAAATCATAGTTTAAAAAAACAACTATCCGTCAAAATCAATCATATGTCAATGTTAAAAATGAGCATTATTTTGATCATTGCCAATATTATCATGTTGTGAAATGCAAAAATTAATTAAAAACCCTATAAATACCAACAATACTTGAAGGTCCTAAAGTGAAATACAGTACTTTTATTTAGTATTATTGTGTCCTCATTAATGATTATGTAGATATTACTCTAATATCGTAGTAAGCACACACTAGGTTGAATAAACAATCGTTCAAAATGTCAGACGCCGAAGTGGAAGTACTCAGTACTTTTAAAAAACGTAATATTAAGAATCGGGGTGGCAGAAAACGTAAAACTTCTAGTTCAGAAGGTAATATTGATCGTTAAGTTATTAATTTATTATCCAAACGAAAGTCATCTAAGAATAGTACATTAAAACTATCTCATCGCTTCTTCATATCCTCTTTCTCACTGTTCCCAGACCCCCGTATTATAAGTGCTTTTATTAAGTTTATAACTACTAACTATAAAATTATAATTATATGTAGTGCATTATTCTCTGTACATAATCTTTATTATAATATGTAAGTTTATAGTAACATTAATTTTGTGTTAGTCCCAGGCACCATTAATATAGCCAAAATTGGATACTTTTTATAATATAAAGTGTGTTTAAATAGCTCGACAATGTTCCATGTGTAGCCATAACACGACACTGGCAGAAATTGCTGGCAGAAACTATTGGCAGATTGCCATTATAAAAAAAAAAAAAATTATTACCATATGAGGCCGTCAGCGCAAAAGTAGCCTAAGCGTACCATAGTTATTATGGAGCAATGAGGCTTTAGTTTTCATGAATTTGAATTTGAGTTGGCAAAAAAAACAATACGCGCTAAAATAATGTTTACAAAGTCATCTGCTATCTATGGGTGAAACTATGGATAGGCCGGTTTTGCATAAAAATTTATTATATATTAAATAAATTGCAATATACATGATTATAAGCATGATTATGAAAAATTGGGGGTTAGGCCACTTTTGCGCTGACGGCCTCATATATACTTGATAATATAGTAACGTTACAGAGAAAAACAGCTCGGACTCTGATGAGCAACAAGTGGTTCTACCAACGAAAAGGGTGAACAAACCAAATCCAAACATACAGTCTACAGCCGGTCCGAAGAAATCCAAAATTGATGTCATTGAAGATAATGATGATAGTAATGATGAAGAAAAGGTATAGTAACATTAACAGCTCATCATCATCATCAACTTACTTGGATATAATCAGATCTGATAATCTGATCTATAATGTGGTCTGCACCTTTGAAGCACCAGATATAAGATATCATAAACAGGCTGTTGGTCCATCTTGTAGAAGGCCTACCCACACTTCAAACCTTCACAGACTTCATACATATTTAGATATATAATAGCCACTTGAGAACTTTTGGTACCAACAGCCTGCTTACTGCCACTTCAGCCTTTCGGGTTGTCTTTTTTTTATTCCTTAGATTGGTGGATGAGCTCATGGCCCACCTAGTGTTAAGTAGTTACAGGAGCCCATAGACAAGTACAAAGTAAATGCTGCCATGCACCTTGAGATATTTGTTGTAGGTCTCAGTTATATCTCCACTGAAATCAATATCATCAACAATTAGAGCAGTTTATTCTTACTTAAATCTGGCACACATCTTTTTATCTCTTTAATCTTTTTACAAGTCATCTTTATGTTGAAGTCTTGTCTTCTGTATTGAACATAAAAAAAATCCGTTTTAAGATCCATTTAGATCAACATAAGCTTACAATTCTTTCAGACTTCTCAAAGGACAACACTATCGGTTCAACAACAGAGAGAGAATGCAACAGCTACCTATGAATTAGACACAGAAAGGGATAGAGATGCCCAAGCCATCTTTGAGAAGGCTCAGAAGATCAATGAAGAGTTGCACGGACAAGCAGATGATAAGGTATCCATTTCTTCTTCTTCTTCTTCTTTGTCGTTTCCTCATTACTGAGGATCGTGACCACCTTGGTCCAGTTTTTGCACCAGCTTCCTCCAATGTTGCCTGAGGGAGAATGCGGGAGGGACAGCGTAACCGCTCTAATGTTAAAGAGCCTAGGCTCGGATGGTACCAAGATTTTACACTCCATTTGCCAGAAAATATGGCGTACTGGCCAGTGGCCTGAAGACTGGACGGAATCAATATTAATTCCTCTCCATAAAAAAGGCTCCACGCGCAAATGTGAGAACTACAGGTATCCATTTAACAGTATTGAAATCACACACTTCGTGGTTACTTTAGTGACAGTTAGCTTATAATTTTTTATATGGTTATTACTTATCAACCATATCATACTAACTTCCATACCAACTTCTGCATATCTTAATAAATTATAATAAAATGTGTGCATAATTGAGTTGGTTCTTACTGAATGGCCTCCTCAAACCTGGCTAGTCAACAAAGTGTAAATGTCTGTAATGCTACACTGGAACTTAGTAATACTAATAAAGTTATAAATTATTGGTCCTGTTTCATAGATGTATGCAAATCTAGTATATAAAAAAACCTAAGGAAGGCATATGTCAGAGTATCATTAACTTAAGACTCACTTCTTATCTCATACACAATAAAGTGTAGAAGGTACCATTAATATTTATTATAAAATTCCAGATATATCGTGGGATAAACAACTATGCCCAATATTATAAAAAGAAAGACACGGCAGCTGGTAATGCCAGCTCTGGTCTAGTCAGGAAAGGGCCCATCAGAGCTCCAGCAAACTTGAGGGCCACAGTCAGGTCTGAAAAAAACAATTTTGAAATCATCATAAAATACTTGGTTCTTATGATGGCATTGTTTAATTTGCCATATTTTTTTTATGTCTTAGATGGGTGGACGAGCTCACAGCCTACCTGGTGTTAAGTGCTTACTGGAGCCCATAGACATCTACAACGTAAATGCGCCACCCACCTTGAGATATAAATTCTAAGATCTCAGTATAGTTACAACGGCTGCCCCTACCCTTCAAACCGAAACGCATTACTGTTTCACGGCAGAAATAGGAAGGACGGTGGTACCTACCCACGTGGACTCACAAGAGGTCCTACCACCATCAAATCCGAAACAAGTTTGAATTGTGTAGAAAGATAAAGAGACTCACATCCCAGCCGGTAATGAGTGCTTCACAAAAGCCCATGGAAATGTGGATGCCGCTACCATTGACTCAATACCGTTGGTTCGATAAGGCTTAAAGTCTACATTTTGCTTTGTCACCCTTTAAATAAGAACACTTTTTGGCTTCAATACAGGAATAGGCAAGATGACAGCTGGTATCTACTCATTAGTACTTACTAGAACATATCAAGAATAAATAGTTCTACCCTTTTCTTTATTCAACATTATTACAAAGTGAACTAGGCTTTGTATACATTGAATTATTGCTTTCATTGAATAATAAAATGCTTTTTTTCTTACAATTAGATGGGATTATCAGCCTGATATATGCAAAGATTATAAGGAGACTGGCTTTTGTGGATTTGGTGGTAAGATTTATTTGTTCACTTTGGCCTTGCCTTGAGAGGCTATTTCAGCTTCTTGACGTAGGTGAGCTCACGGGGCTCAAACCGGGAGTGTTGCTAACACTGGCCCTAGCAAGAGCAGTGCTTCGCAGAATCTACCACACTGAGAAGATCCAGCGAGAAACTCAGTGGGCTGTGGAGGCTACTAATGATAGATTGATTGATGCTGGATATGTGTATGTGACAAGTTGTCAATGCTGAGGACCTCACACACGCTTTTCGGTTTGAAGGATGGGCCAGTCTTAGTACAGTAAACTAAGACTTTAAACTCACTCTGTCATCACCCTGCCTATTTCTGCCGTGAAGCAGTAATGCATTTCGGTTTGAAGGGTGGGGCAGCCGTTGTGATTATACTGAGATCTTAAAACTTATACCTCAAGGTGGGTGGCGCATTTACGTTGTAGATGTCTATGGGCTCCAGTAACCACTTAACACCAGGTGGGCTGTGAGCTCGTCCAACCATCTAAGCAATAAAAATAAATAAAAAAAGTTTCAAAATATTTCAGATTCATGTAAATTCCTTCACGACCGCTCTGACTATAAACATGGCTGGCAACTGGAACGCGAGGAGCTGGAGACACCGGGACAAGATGGAGATTCGGATTACGAGATCCACAGCGATGAGGAGCTACCGTTCAAATGTTTTGTATGCAGAGAGGGATTCACAAATCCTGTTGTTACCAAGTAAGTGTAAGTTGGAACTGTAGAGGTGATAAGGGCTGCAGAGGACTGGGTCTACAGTGGTGCAGTATAAGACTAGAGGCTAGATGTAGGTCGAATTTTTGTGTAGAGCAACTATTCTACAAGGATAAAGGAATTGTTTTATTAATAAAAATTTTTGGAGTCATCGTGGCCTAAAGGATACGATGCGACAATGCCGGTGTTCGAATCCCGCTGACGGGTTCGAATTTTTCTAATGAAATACGTACTTAACTCATGTTCACGAATGACATTCAAACCCACACAATGAAGACATTAATTTCAAGTCTGAATGTGGGTGGTGGTAAGCATGTTGTTGATGTCCGTGGACTTCCATAACCACGTGACACAATACAACATAAAAAGCAAGGTATCTTGCAACAGACGAGACTTTGGACGACGCAATGGATTTTAGTTGCGATTACATTACGTGCTGAAGAACATTAGACTTTAATGCGATCGTCGCTAGGTTCACAGTCAGGGTGCAGTACTCTCACGTGCCAAGTTCCTCTGCAGGTGCAAACACTACTTCTGCGAGAGATGCGCTCTGGAGCAATACAAGAAATCGACCCGTTGTTTCATTTGCAACGCGCAGACCGGCGGCGTGTTCAACCCTGCCAAGGAACTGGAAGCCAAACTGAAGAAGCGACTCAGCGATGACGATGATGATGATGATGACAACGATGAATGATTGATAATAAAATATGACTTAATTTTTTTTGTTTTTTTAATATTATGCCCTGGTAATAGAGACCTTTAGGTCATATCTTATTTGGATAATGTTCATTACTTTGGGGTCACTACACTTCACTTTATGTTTTATTTCTATAATTAATACGTGAAGCAAAAACTTTGTATCCCTTTTTACGAAAATTGCGCAGACGGAGAGTATCAAATTTCCCACACTTATAGAGAAGGAGTGTAGAATGTTCATCTTTTTTTAATTATGCATAAAAAAACCATTAAATCAATAAAGAAAACATTACACACTATCATGTATTTGACACACACACATATAGGCACACATATACTCTGCGTTTACTAAAGAAGTCTAATATTGTTTGACAATAGAACCATAATAATGTTTATAAATAAATTTTCAATTAGTTATAGTCGAATTTCGACTATGTGGGACCACTAGTAATTATAAATAGGTTATAGGATGTTGAATCTTTTAGTAAGTAGTGGCGGGCTATAGGAAGAAACACACTTAAGTGCATTGGTATCACTTTTTTTTTTTTTTCCTACCTAAGCTGTTAGCCTAGAGAGGCTATTCCAGCGGAACCTTAACTAGTAGGTGAGCTCACGGGGCTCAAACCTGACGACGATGCTAACACGAACCCTAGCAAGAGTCGTGCTTCGCAGAATCCACCACCGGATCGGAAACGCGACCCAGTGAGAAGATCCGGCGAGAAACTCAGTGGGCTGTGTCTGAGAGTTAATTTACTCGTCGAGCCCTTGAAGTACCTAGAAGCACCGTTAGTGGATCGGGAGGATCCGAGATGACGTGTTTTGGGCGACGTCGACTGCTTTCCATTCTGTCCGCAGGATCTGGAATGAGTATCACTAAGTTCACTAGCCAGCACACAAGTCTTTGAATTAAGAAACTTTGACAATAGAAAATAATGTGATGGATCGTCCCTTCTTCTGCTTGACAGTGTATACATTGGTTGTTTGAAACAATGCCAAGTCCTGCTAGGTGTGACGGCGCAGTATTATGGCCAAATCTCAATCTCAGTTTAATGTTGTTATGAAATCTCGACTTTCACTAGTTTTCAATTTGCCATACCATGGTTTAACAGGCAGGTTATGTTGGATACTTCCATAGCACTCACTTTTTTGGCGGGAACGCGAGGAGTGAAGTTGTGTGATTTGTTTCATTTTGTCTAGTTAGTGTTTCTACAGATTTAAATATGTAATAACGGTGGTTTATTAACTGTTTAGTATCTGTGAAAGTGTACAAATGTAGGAAAATGAAACAAAGCCGCTGAACGTAACTTTCTCGGGATCTTCCAAAAAGTCCAAGTGAAAAAGTCTCAGTAAATGACCACCATTTTACTGAGATTATACTTCATCCCATATCATCTCATCTCATGTCATTTCATTTCGTTTTCATTTCATTTCATGCCATGTTTCATAATAATCAACTTCATTTCATTTCATAATATCATTTTCATATAAAAAAGTTACGTAACATTAAAATTAAAATAAGACTTGACCTAAAGGTCTTAGTTACCAGGTCATAAAATCACTTAAAAATCCATAGCACTTTCTCTTGTTTCTATTCAATTTAGTTTAATAATTTCTAACTACCCCCCAAACTGTTTTATTGTTCGGACCACAGAGCCGTAACGCTGGGGAGGACTGAGGCGACTAAAGAATGTGGGTAGACCAATAAGACAGTGGTTGATGGTGACGGGAATCCACTCAATTAACCTCGACTAGGACAAGGAGCTACAGAGGAAGATGATGGAGGCATTTAACCAAGAAAGTAGGCAGCGGCTTGGCTCTGTCCCTGGCATTGCTGAAGTCCATGGGCGACGGTAACAACTTACCATCAGGTGGGCCGTACGCTCGCCTGCCTACAAGAGCAATAAAAAAAAGTTCGTAATTTAAATGAAAGAAATCCTATTATTTAAATACTTAAACCAATCATCAATCATGGTTCCAAGCCGGTTTCGACCACGGCGACCAAATTTTTCAGTTTAATAACTTAAACGCTAATGTCCGCGCCTCTCATGCGCTCTAATATGGCTACAGTAGCCTATCTTGTTCTTAAACGTGCGCAAACAGAAGCTACACGTAAGAACACCACCCACGAAGTTGTAAAAAATGATGGAATTTTTTTTTCCGCCTTCCACTTAAACCAAACTAAACTCATGAGCAATCTAAACAAGAAATTGTAATAAAATAAAACTATTGTTTACTTATTATAAAGTGTCGCGGCGCCTGACTCGTTTAGCACAGCAACCTAAACAAAACGTCATACCAGAACATTTACACTACGACGATTTTACTAACGACTTAAATAGATATTTAAATTTATGTATGTAGGACCGTCACTATTGATAATATTGAACATAATATGAATACAAAGAGCCTTACCCTACTTCCAAACTAAATTTATAAATATGTTGAAATTTAATTTCTTTACGCTATTTTACTAGCGGTCGTTACCTTGTCTTGAAAAAAAAACCAGATATCTATTCGCAACGTCACCAATAATTGTAAATTCCAAGACATAATCAAACAGATATAAAAAAAAAACATCTAAATAGGTCCAAGTCTAAGGGAACCAGACTTACGTTAACCTACCCAGGATAGCGATTATTTTAAATATTTTTTGACGCGGCCATTTTGCGCTAACATAATTATGTTAAAATGGCCGCGTCATAAAAAAAATAAATAAATAATAGTTCAAAAAAACTAACAAAATACGCTTTTATAGAAAATCTTTTATAGAAAGAATCAATTCTTTCATACACTATGTTTCATTCAAATTTATTAAAATTTATTTTCTATTTTTTAGTTGGATTTTCTATAAAAGCGTATTTTGTTTTTTTAAACTATTATTTATTTTACATAACTTAAGTTGAGTTTAAATTTTTTCAATCTTTTTATTTTTATTTTGTAGCAAACCGACCGGTACGTCACTCTCGCGGCCGTATGCCCGCTCGCTATACATAGTTATCATCTATGTCTATCTTTTTAACAGTGTATAATCTCGAATATATTAAGTGTATAATCTATGGTGTATAATCTATGTTCCGGGCGCTTCCGTTTTGAGTGTGAATAGCGTGCGCCCGCGTCTAAATGTAATTATTGTTTAAAATTGAAAATTGTTTGTGTTAAAGGAAGATTAAAATTCGAAATTCGATACTGGTGACTAACCCATAGTTTTAAATACCCCTGAGATCTACCCCTCACTATAATTTCTTTTTTTCAACATTAAATTGTCATCGGTCCTTAATAAGTATTACAATTTAATGTTAAAAAATGGTATACTTTATACCAAATTTCGAGTTAATCCGACGTTTTGTAGGGAGTCAAAATCATGTTCAAAGATTCCGTTACATACTAACATACATACGTCTGAAGCTAATAAAAGCGTATTACGAGCAGCTTTTCACCGTGAGTAAAACATGATACGCAGAGCTCCCGAACTCAACTTTATTTCACGTGATGACCATCAAAGGATCGTTTTCAATTTTGCCGCCAAAAAAGTAACGATTTCATGAATTTAAACTTTATTTCTCTATTTTTTTGTATTTAAGCATGTTCAGAATAAAGAATGCTTCATCACAATCAAGTCAATCACTCATTTATATTTTTCATTTTACCTACGCATTTGATAACGCCAACACGGATGACGATTTAAATAGGAGCTTTTTTATGAAGCTTAGAAATCGTACTTCTTTTGTTTTTAATAATGTTCTAATATCCAGTTAGTTTTCCTTTATCATTATATTATATACTGATTAAATAAAATTGCCGAATTTCGACACGCATTACTGGAAAAATATCAGACAAGTTAGAATTGCAATTTCGAGCCAGTGATACGAATGAGATTTGGGGTAGTTTTTAATGTATAACTCCTAATTTAATAGTGTTTACGAATATATAGCTATAGGACCGCGTGCCTGTTGTCATGGCAACAAATTTACTGTACTTATAATTACAGTAACATTAAGGTTATGAGAATTAAATCAAATAAGTCGCTTTTGGCACCAAATTTGAAAACGACCGCAAAATCGTAACGTCAAAATGTAACATTTATCTTTTATTCCAATTCTTTACGTAGAGTCCGTTGTTAGTGGGCGTCAGCTAAGGAGAGTAGAAGTAAGTTTTTTTGACGTGAATACGTCTTTAAAATTACTTCCATAGGGACCCAATCCAAAAAAACGAATGATAACAAAATCGGGGGATACAGTTTAGTGTTGTAGCTACATATCTATCATCTCCATCCAAATTTCAGTTACACCACTGGATAGTTAAAGAATCAAAGAATTTATTACGCTAAGTAAGGACTGTAAGACATCGCGCGCGGGGGAGGGGGCAGCCCCGCCATTTTGAAGGTAATTTTGCTGCGTATCGAGATTTCCATTTAGTATAACTTTCGACTCGGTGAAGCTACGACGTTCATTCAAGTTTCAATCGTCAGCTCTCGTCAAAATCTATCGGTTATATATATAACATTAGTGTAAAATTGTAACTGTGAATATAATAAGGTGTTAAAATAAAAAAATAATATCAAAAAATATATAATGTCGGCCTATACGCGTCGAAAAGCCAAATCGAAATACAGAGATCGTATACAGTTGGAAAGGGCATCTCAACAGCAATCGAATGGTACCAATAAAACACCATATGATCGAGTCAAGCAGTCCCGGCAACGTAAAGTAATGAATGCGGCCGAGCGGATCAACGACGGTGCCAGTACATCTGCAGCTGGGACGGTTGAAATTACGCAGATGGATGATGAAATCGCTTCTGTATCGACATCGGGCTTATGACACAGACCTATAATAAATAAAGTTATAATACAGTAATTATATGTTTAGTTGATTTATTTCCTGAACCTATTAAATGAAAAAGTTGCCATCATAAACAAAACCCGGAGGACTTCTTATGATTATGACATACATAAATAATAATATTTTATATAGAAACTATTACCCGTTACGAGACGTATTCACGTACAACAAACGGCCGTGTCCATAACACAGCCACACCCCTTTTTTTTTGACGTGACAACGTCTTATAATTCGATGGAGCCGGCTGCGCGCACGAAATAACATGACTCATGCGGCGTTACCTCGCTCTGAGGCGTTCCGTTTAAGGCTTGAAGTGCAAGCGAGAGCGCGCAACGAGCGACAAAGAGGCACAATCGGCCTCCGCGTTCGGCAGCGTTCGACATCTGTCTCTCTCCTACTTGAGTGAGCGATGCATCCGCGTGGACAACTGCTATACAATAATACGTTTACATGTTTTCGTCAAGTATGAAGTTCAGTGAAAAGTGAATGTGGTGTCAATAGTTTATAGCAACGATAATTGAAAAATGTAACCATCCATCAGTATTTTCTTATGACGTTGTCACGTTCAACTATCTTCAGCAAACCGACTTTACAGACAACCGATATTTTTCCTGCCAAAGCTTGATAGGCCACTTCAGCGTAATTGTAACACGTATAACACGTCAAATCTGACGGCGTTGCTAACACTAACCCTAGCAAGAGCAGTGCTTCGCAGAATCTAGGTACCGCCGGATCGGAAACGCGACTCATTGAAAAGATCCGGCGAGAAACTCAGTGGCCTGTGTCTGTGGGCTAGTTCGCTCGTCGTAATACATGAGTTCGACGAGGTCGGTGACCGGTGCTTGAAAGCGTTAAAAGCACGGGATGTCGGAATGAGTACTTCACTCTGTTCAAAACTGCTACATTCATATAATATCCACTTCCTACACTATTTTCCTACGCTATTTTGGTGAATCTTCCAACAATAGCTTGCCGTTTACAAACCCTCAGACACAGCCCGCTCAGCTTCTCGCCGGATCTTCTCACTGGGTCGCGTTTCCGATCCCGTGGTAGATTCTGCGAAGCACGGCTCTTGCTAGGGTTCGTGTTAGCAACGTTGTCAGGTTTGAGCCCCGTGAGCTCACCTACTAGTTAAGGTTACGCTGATATTGCCTCTCAAGGCTATCAGCTTAGGTAGGAAAAGAAAAAAAACAGCTATTTACAGATGGCCACACTCCTTACCTTTACCCTTCATAGCGTCAATATCGCCAAAGGAGTATTTATGCCAAATTTAAAGTATTGAGTGAATGGTTTCGTGGATTTCGTTATAGTACATAACTTTTGTATATAAATATTTTTATTTAATTTTGACTTTAAAAAAATCCGAAAATGGGGTCAATGGCCTCTATCAAGAGGCTTGCCCCGGCCTCAATTCAACATTGAGTTAGATAATATTATCGAATACATAAATTAAAATTTCACATTCAAATAAAAATAACAATTAATATTTAAATAACAGATTATTTACATACTACGTATTATTATGCCTAATACAATATTTGTTCAAAGAAAAAAGGAATTGAATTTAGTAATATTGATAACAATGTGCTTCTATAAAAGACCGCGAAAATAATTCAGGAGACAATTCGACATCTCTATTCACATTGAATACGCACGAAAAAAACATGAAACTCTCAAAGGTGAGTTTAAACTTAATTTATATTACTGAAGACTGGCACTCTTTCGACTTAGTGTGGTACCAAGGGGAAATAACTCATTCAACATTTCATTATCATTCTCCTGCCCTGGAGGCTAAATTCGTGTGATGCGCGTAATATGGCAGGTTGGCAGCGACTTGGCTGTGCCCCTGGCATTACTGATGTCTATGAGCGACAGTAATCGCTTACCATCAGATGGGCCGTAGGCTCGTCTGCCTACGTCATTCTCCTGTCCTTCTCCCAGACACCTGGGGTCGGCGCAACACGTTTTCTCCTTCCACACTCCTCTATCATATACCATTTCTTCGCCCACTCCCCTCTTACACATATTGTCTTTCACGCAATCCATCCATTTCTTTTTAGGTCTACCTCTTCCTCTAATAACTAATAATAGGAGAAATAGCACATTATTTGAGATTATCTCGCCACGAGATGAACTCACCCCTTCCACATTACGGGTGGTAGGACCTCTTGTGAGTCCGCACGGGTAGGTACCACCACCCCGCCTATTTCTGCCGTGAAGCAGTAATGCGTTTCGGTTTGAAGGACGGGGCAGCCGTTGTAACTATACTGAGACCTTAGAACTTATATCTCAAGGTGGGTAGCGTATTTACGTTGTAGATGTCTATGGGCTCCAGTAACCACTTCAAAGCAGGTGGGCTGTAAGTTCGTGGGAACTTACAGCCCAACTTACTTAAAAACATGGGAACCCACTGCCTTTTGTATGGAGATTTAAAGTCGAGGTCTCAGCTATGTATTAATGTTTATAACCAGCCATTTGCAACATTAAAACGTTTGTCTGCTCGGGGTAATATCGGTAAGATGATGGTACCTACATGCCTTTTTTCAAAGGTGCTTTGTCGAGCACTCGGCGTTAAGCAATGACTCATTTGTCCCGTGATTGCTGATGCATTGCAACAGATGATCATCTAAGAAGAGTGGTAAGAGAAGTTTAACGGTAGACAGCGGCTTGATTCTGCCCCTGGCATTGCAAAAGTCCATGGGCGACGGTAACGACTCTCCGTCAGGTGGGCCGTACGCTCGTCTGCAAGGGCAATAAAACAACACTACATTCATAGCATTCGCTTCGGTTATCGCTAAGCCGCATAAGGTTATTTAAATTCATAGCGTTGAATGTGGAGTGAATATTCTTTGATTCGTTTTTGTTTCAGTTCCTAGTTTTCTTGATGTCACTTGTGAGTTTCGGCCAGGTCCAAAGCAAGAGGACGAATAGCGACCGCTCCTCCGACCAAGCCCTACTCAACGTTGTAATAAAATTCGTGGGATGAACATAAAATGCTGTAGTTTCAATTTTACTATAATTACCTACCTATAGTTCAAATTTAAATTCACTGCTCATATTCTTAAAGCCTCTCAATAGATATCAATTTAACCCAGAGATTGATGGAGTAGCAATAGGTAGCTCTGGTATTTCCGTGGTTGCAAATGTATGGATGAAGCATTTTGAAAATCGGTCAATTTTAACCATTCTCTATTACCTTGAAGTCGTGGAATAGATACTAAGATAATGGTCTTTTGAATAGTGGAAAATGGACAAAAAGGTGTTGATAGGAGTCCAGAACGTCTCAACAGCTGTCACAACAATAAGTGGTTCACTATTGAGACTGAACAAGGAACTACCTTGCCGTTGATATGGAGGCTAGAAGAACCGGAACCCCGGGCCACGCAATAGCCCGACAAATACTCGCGAACTCACGTCACCATCCACGTAATCTAAATAGAATAAATAGCCGTAGTAAATTCTATTACCAATCGCGCTAATATATTTTTTCCTACCTATTCGCTGGTAGCCTAAGGGGCTATTCTACGTCCGGACGGGTAGGTGAGCTCACGGGCTCAACTTGAGAGAATTTGCTAACACTAGCCCTAGCCAGAGCAGTACTTCGCAGAGTATACCAGAGGATCGCGATTCACTGAGAAGAACCGGGGAGAAACTCAGTGGGCTGTGTCTATGGGTTAGTTCGCTCGTCGTAATCGACGAGTTTCGGCGAGGACAGTGACCGGTGCTTGAGAGGCCTAAAGGCACCGAGAGTGAATCCGGGTGATTCGGGCGACGGCGGCGTTGCGTTGCCCTGTCGCGGTAGGATAATACCCTCATCACTTATGTGACGAGCCACACGCAGCTGATGAACTTCAGCATGTTACAGTGCAATGACCGTTGTTTGAATGTTGCCAATCACTGACAAAACAGGTACCGTCCGTTAAAAGATCGTCTAGTAAGTCAACTGCTCTTCTAAGAGTATCTTAAGAGTGTGACAGTTTAGATACAAAAGATGGTAAGAGTAAATGTGACGTAAAAACTGCTTTTCCTGATTCAAAGATAGCTCCTTTGCGGCTGTGGCGAGGCTTACATTGGCCAAACTAAACGCAGGGTACCATTTCAGCTCGGATAAAAGAGCACATCACTATTAAAACGCATTGGAAGCTGGCTATTACTGAACACACATTGAAGTCCGGACCTAATCATTAGATTGAGTCACAAGCCCTTCTACTGGTAGTAGGACCTATTGTGAGTCCGCGCGGGTGGTTACCGCCACCTTGCCTATTTCTGCCGTGAAGCAGTAATGCGTTTCGGTTTGAAGGGTGGGGCAGCCGTTGTAATTATACTGAGACCTTAGAACTTATATCTCAAGATGGGTGGCGCATTTAAGTCGTAGATATCCGTGGGCTCCAGTAACCACTTAACACCAGGTGGGCTGTGAGCTCGTCCAAAAATTACAAAGGATATCCTAATTAATGTGTTGTGGTCAACCGCAAATCACCTCTGGGAGAAATGAAAGAGCAACCATTTATTAACACAAAAATTTTATTAAATTTTCTGCCATCTCCTGTTCACGGCTCTGGACTGTTTGGTCTAATCCGTGTACGGCTGCAGCTCCGCCCTGGACGATTTTCACGAAAGCGATCACGAGAATTAGGAACTGTAACGAAATTTTCATTTATTTTCATTATTGCTATAAGACATGAGTTCTAAGTCTAATTCGGTATGAAGGGTAGGGCAGCCGTTCATATTTGATCTACATATGAAATAATTAGACAGTATAAACGCAATTTTTAACCAAAACGCTAATAAATATGGCCAATGCCAGCTGACTGACAAAACCGGCGCATGCGCAATGTAGGCGTGAGGTGATGGTTTGCTAGATATAAAATAATTAATAATTGGGAATTTAATTGTTTTTGTGATCAATCAATCACCAATAGTTGTCGAACAAACGATAATTGATCAAAATGAATTAATCTCAGCGATAAAAATAAAGATATCTAGTAAGGAGAGGCAACTTAAGGGTGATCATTTGTTTAATTAATTATAAATAAACAAAAGACGGACAAACTATTTTTACATTCGAACATTAACGAACAAACGACGAACAAATAATTAAAAATAAAAAAAATTCTAAAATCAAAAAAGGGGGGCCAAATTTGCCTGCCCCGCCCCACCTTTCGAAATCGTATTACGTTTTTCTTTTTTTCCTACCAAAGCTGATAGCCTTGAGAGGCCACTTCAGCGTAATCGTAACAAGTAGGTGAGCTCGTAGGGCTCAATCCTGACCATTTTTCTAACACTAACACTAGCAAGAGCAGTGCTTCGCAGAATCTACCACTGCGCCTGTGTCGGTGGGCCGTATTACTGCTTCACGGCAGAAATAGGACGGGCGATGGTACATACGCGTGCGTGCTCACAAGATGTTCTACCACCTGTAAACTGAAGGCTACATGCCTATAATAAATACTCTATTACTTCAAAATAAATAGTTCTCAAAGACTCTTCAAGTTGATATGATTATTGGGACTTCATTGAGAAATGTCTGGCTTATCTACAGTAAAACCTCTTTATTATTTATTTATTTATTAAAGCTACTTATAAATAGAAAATCTGTGTTAGCTCACCGCCAGTTGGCAGCGTTCCCAGAAGGCTGGCAGCATTTCCACGCTGGATAGCAATGCTAATTGTTTGTGCAAAATACGTACCGGCCTTCTGGTCTCCTGAGGCTTCAAATACTTTTTTTTAAGGTCCTTAAAAAAACTTTTAGCAGATGGACCACAGGGGCCCAAAGTTTCTATCCCAAATGGAACAAAAATATTTATTTATTTATTTATTATTTATCTTTATTCACGGGGTATATGTTCCATAAATATGCCGCGAATACAGAAACCTTGATACGGAAAAGCGCGTTTACAAAAGATATTCGGTTGGATACCTACATATTGGAAACCTTTTTAGATCGGCGAATAATCTTTTAAATTATCTTTAGTCGCGAATATACGACCTGGATAGCATTTTATTAATCAGTGAATAGTGAAAACGCGAATGGAGGAAGCGCGATTAAGGGGCTAGTACTGCACTGAATTAAGAAACAGAACGGACTCACCACAGCAGATCTCATATCCATTTCTTAATGGGTCGTTACGTAGGAACTACTAAGATCAATCTATTGTAGTCGGCTGTATTGAATCCGCTGTCAAATCATATATTCCAATAATTTACTCCGAGTCACATAATAAATACTATTTTATGTCCAATAACATTAAGAACAAACAATATTTACAGTTGAATGGATGGAACAAATGCGAAAATCAAATTAATTCAATATTAGCATTCCGCGTGTTTCTGGTGAGTTCAGTGTGCTTCATATAATTTACATTATATGATGACTTTGCTCGGTTTTTTTTTTTGATAACGCCATCTTGTTGTATCTATAAAGCGGTTAGTTGCCCTCAATTAAAAAAAATAGTATTATTATTCGCCAATAGATGTCGCGAAGAGTCATAAAGTTGATTATCGATAAAGTTGATTATTGAAAACACGAATAAAACAACATTTTCTGAAAATAAATCGTAGCTAGATCGATTTACCGTGTATACTAAATTTTATGAAAATCGTTGGAACCGTTACCGAGATTCAGATTATAATACATAAGGTAGGTAATAAGGTAGGTGTAAGGTATAAGATTTACATTTTACATTCTATGAGTCAACGGAGCCTCGATGGGAGCTTTTCCAGCATTAATTTCTACACGAAAACGGAATGAATTTTCCTCCTTGCATCTTTAGCCATATGACATGTCCATCTCCAAAGAATGTTTGAGAATTCTCCGCTTAAATAATACACATAAATTAGTTATAGCTAAGCAACTCAAACACTCAACAAACATGTTTACGGGCGTCAGCCACTAGATGGCTTCGCTTCGATTAGTTTCTTATTGCAGTAACATATTACATATCCTATATTTTCTTTTTAATGAAGGAATTTGTAAATTTTCAAAAACAACACAAATTGATAAAATTTAATTAGTTTGTCTATAACAAATAAAGACTTGTATGATTTTTTTCTGTGTTTAGTTATTTAATAATTAAGTAAATGCCTTAATTTTAACAACATATAAGTTTAGGGGCATCCGCTACAAGATGTCACTAGTTTCCATTAAAAAAAATTATTTGTCTTAAAGACTACCGCCTTTTTTATTATGTCATGACCCCACTACTGGCATTACTACCACCAACAGTGTTGCTATTTGGCAATCCGAAAATTGCTTTAACTTTGACATGATAAATTTTATTTTAATATTTTACAACAAACCATATACGTGCTGCGCAAGCTCTTTGCACGATTACCCACCGTGGACCCACAATGTCAATAAAAACATATAAAGATATTGGCGCTATTCTGCGACATGCTAATATCTCCGCTTCTAATGACTTCTGTGACTTAACATCAAATGAACTGTGAGCTCGCTCACTGAACACATTCAGCACACCTCACCTTGGATCTTCCCGATCCACTAACGATGATTTTAGGTACCTCAAGCACCGGTCATCGTTCTCGTCGAACCCGTCGCTTGCGACGAAGGGCTCGGCGAGTAAATTAACCCACAGACACAGCCCACTGAGTTTCTCGCCGGATCTTCTCAGTGGGTCGCGATTCCGATCCGGTGGTAGATTCTACGAAGCACGGCTTTGCTAGGGTTCGTGTTAGCAACAACGTCAGGTTTTAGCCCCATGAGCTCACCTACTACCCCGGTGACGCTCTCTAGACCATTAGCTTAGGTAAATTAAAAAAGAGCACATTCAAAAATAGCGATCTAATTTCGTCACCTACGCTATACATAGATCGACGCTTTTGAAATGTGGTGTTGAAGGTGGATGTTGCGAATTCCATGAACATCACGCCGGACCAACTTATCCATTCTGAAGGAGCTCGGTATTACCACAAGGCTGTCCGCTATCTGCTTCCAATGTATTCCCGCGTACTTCGGTCCCATCGCTCGTAGAGAACCCGATAACTAAGAGAAGTTGATGTTAGTTTTTTTTTTATTGCTTAGAAGGGTTGTCGAGCTCACAGCCCATCTGGTGTTAAGTGGTTATTGGAGTCAATATACATCTACTACATAAATGCACCACACACCTTGAGATATAAGTTCTAAGGTCTCAGTATAGTTACAACGGCTGCCCCGCCCTTCAAACCGAAACGCATTACTGCTTCACGACAGAAATAGGCGGGGCGCTGGTACCTACCCGTGCTGACTCACAAGAGGTCCTACCACCAGTAATTACGCAAATTACAATTTTGCGGGTTTGATTTTTATTACACGATGTTATTCCTTCACCGTGGAAGTCATTCGTGAACATTTGTTGAGTACGTAATTCATTAGAAAAATTGGTACCCGCCAGCGAGATTCGAACACCGTTGCATCGCTACATACGAATGCACCGTACGTCTTATCCTTTAGGCCACAACGACTACAATTGTCAGGTTGACGGGAGAAGATCACACGGACGCTCATCTACCCGCTGGTCAGATCTGGTAAAGATGCTCACAGGTAATAACCAAGGCTATAAGAACGGCCAAGGACAGGAAGTCATGGAGAAGCATAGAGCATCGAGTGATCAGCACTTCAAGCTAGACACGACCTTCAAAAGAGACCGATTCAGAATTAGAAGCTATACTTAAATAAAAATACGGAACACAGTACATTGAAAATTCTGTTCAACTTATGTTCTTGCACTTACTTACTTACTGCGTAGTGTAAACAATTGTACGGGTCAATAACATCGCGGGGCCAAAGGCATTTTTTATTCATATTAAATAAATTAAATTCAGCCAATAAAAGATAACGCAATATTAGTTTAAATACATTAAAGTCAATTTACATATTCTGTATCAAATTCAACTTTGTTATTTAAATTCAAATAATATACTAATATTAGGAACCAGATATATATATATAAGTCTAAGAACTCAATATGTTGGGCACTTTGTGTACACTTTAGTACACCAAATTGTATAAAATAGTTCTCACGTATCGATCGAACTATTAGGAAAACGAAATGAAACTTGCAGTGGTAAGTTTTGCTTATTTTTTTTATTATTTTTTATTGCTTAGATGGGTGGACGAGATCACAGCCCACCTGGTGTTAAGTGGTTACTGGAGCCCATAGACATCTACGACGTAAATGCGCCACCCACCTTGAGATATAAGTTCTAAGGTCTCAAGTATAGTTACAACGGCTGCCCGACCCTTCAAACCAAAACGCATTACTGCTTCACGGCAGAAATAGGCAAGGCGGTGGTACCTACCCGCGGGGACTCACAAGAGGTCCTACCACCAGTAAAGAGGTAGGTAGATGGTAGAGGTAGGTTGATGTGTAGCTACCGCCATTCCGCTTACGCGTATAAATACAGTTAGTTGTACTTAGAAAACAATTTCATTTTCGACTTCTTTTCTCAAGTTGGTGACATATTGCAGAAGTCTCCGAGTACCTGTAACCACTTATTATCAAACGGGGAGGTACCACCGGACTGACAAGAGGTCCTACCACCAGTTATAATGCAAATTATAATTTTGCGGGTTTCATTTTTATTCTTCTTCTTCTTCCAGTGCCTCTTTAATCCTGAAGGCTGGCCGTTAGCTTCTTATATTCACTTTTTGTTGTAAAAATTTTTTGTAAGACCAAAAAATTTAAGTATTTTCCACCACGCTGTCTTTGATGACCAATTCTAGCCAAAGTAGCCCGTTAAGCAGTACTTTTATTTGTTGATTATGAAAGTTGAGAGTCTAGCGCATATTTTAAAGTTACTTAGCAACTATTTAATCACCTGTTTAGATTTTTAATTTAAAGTTGAAAATGTAAGTCTTATTCACCGACCGTAAATTTTTCTCTTTACACCAAAATCTTTACAACTTCCAAAAAAGTTACGAAGCTGATTATTTTATGCATAAAAGAACAGGTTGTAGAAAATAAGTTGCAAAAAAAGAGTATGGGAGGATCCTAACGTGCTTAGGGCCGATTTTTGTAGTTTACCTGAATATTTGACAGACTTGGATTTAGCTGCCTTTGATTTTATAGGCCTCATATATTAATATGCATGTTTTTTTTTTGTTTTATTGCTTGGATGATGTAGTAAAAAGCGGTTATCTATACTAATATTATAAAGAGGAAAGATTTGTTTGTTTGTTTGTTTCGAATAGGCTCCGAAACTACTGGACCGATTTGAAAAAATATTTTTCCATTAGAAGCCGACATTGTCTCTGATGAACATAGGCTACTTTTTTTTTATTTTTTTTTTTATTTTTTTTGTTTGTTTCATGTGTGTTTTAATGTTTCCGAAGCGAAGCGAGGGCGGGTCGCTAGTAATATTATAAACAGACACTCCAATTTTATTTATATGTATATATTTTTGTTACAGATCCTAATTCTCCTGATCGCTCTCGTCATCTTCGTCGAGGCTCAAGGCGAAAGTTCGGGCAGCACAACCCAGAACATAGTTGATGTTAAAATAAAATTTATTGGATGATTCGAAATTGGTTTCATTTTTTATAGAGCGTTCTCCTGATGTACGAAATACGACCGTAATAACCAACACTACAAGATGTATTATACGTTGTCTCTTCGATTTAGTTATTTACGCGTTGAAAGAATAAAAAGCTGTGAAGAGTCGTAAAGAGATAACGAATGATAAAAAAAAATCAGTTGACAAAGGGAGGAGAAAATTAAACTATAGTCTTTGCTCGTATATCGACATGCACAACATTGTAACTCAGTTTTAACTCCTCCTCCTCCTCCTCCGTGCGTCGTATTCCTCAGTTCTGAGGGTCGTGACCTTTACTGAGCACTTTTGTTAGGATGTTCCTCCATTCACTTCTGTCCTCCGCGCAGTGGATAGTGACATTGATGCTGGATTCTAAAGTTGTCTTAATCTGATCGGACCAGCGCATGGGACTACGCCCCCTAGGCCTCTTTCCTTCCACTTTGCCGGTGATGACAAGTCTTTCAAGATTGTCACCCTTTTTCCTCGCAACGTGACCGAAAAACTCCAAAATCCTACGTAGGCAAATGGTGGAGAGTATTGTGGAGACGCCTAGTTCTTCCAGGATTGATGCGTTTTTCCGATGCGCCGTCCAGGGAATCCGCAGCATTTTCCTCCAGCACCACATCTCAAACGCGTCGATTAGTTTTAGCTAAATATGATAATTTACATTCCTTGCATGTGTCGATATATTAGTAAAGTATGAAAATGCCGTTCTTTTGTTACTAGAGGTCCCGCAGTAGTCGAAATTCGACTATAATTAATTGGAATTGTAAGTTTGTACACTATTATGATTGTATTTTATACTTCTATAATCACGAATTTCGCCAAGACTACACTATAAAAAATATTAATAAAGACAAACAATATTTAATCTATTCTCAATTTGACAACAGACGTCAAGAACAAAAGTTTGACAATAAATAGTATGCATGCGTGAGTGCGTCAAATACATGGTATGTAGTGTGTGTAATGTTTTCTTTATTGATTTAATGTATCTTTTATGCATTATTTTAAAAAAATATTAGCATTGTGCACTTCTTCTCTATATTCTCTATAGTCTAGTCAACAAGTTCAAAAACGTGAGAAATAGAGATAAAGGTCCTAAAAATATGAGCGATGGCTCATTCGATTCGGAATCACCTCTAGAAAAATGTTTTTGAAGGATTTTGGTGCAAGTTAAAAATTGCAATTGTTATTAACAAAATAAGAAGGATATTTCGTTTTTTGTTAATAACTTGAAAAATATTAACATTGAAGCAATTTTGAAAAAAGCTCGTTAAAGAGGAGCTCGCTCATATTTTTTGGACCTTTATCTCTATTTTTCACGTTTTTGAACTTGTTGACTAGACTACTATAAGTGTGGAAAATTTCATACTCCTCCGTTCGCGCAATTTTCGTAAAAAGGGATACAAAGTTTTTGCTTCACGTATTAATATATAGATAGGTTCTTTAAATTGACATAGAACCTTTATGGCTTGAGTTTTTTTAAATGAAACTTTTTTCAAATGGTACTTATTATCAAGATTGCTTACTTATTAACAAGTTGTTTATTACTTTAACAGTGATCCAATCGTCTAACTATCCTAAATATCTATGTGAATATAAATAGATGGGTGGACGAGCTCACAGCCCACCTGGTGTTAAGTGGTTACTGGAGCCCATAGACCTCTACTACGTAAATGCGCCACCCATCTTGAGATATAAGTTCTAAGGTCTCGAATATAGTTACAACGGCTGCCCCACCCATCAAACCGAAACGCATTACTGCTTCACGGCAGAAATAGGTGGTACCTACCCGTGGTACCTACCCGTGCGGACTCACAAGAGGTCCTAGTATATTTGTATGATAAATACAAAATGTCTTTTCCAGGATTATGGATGAATCTTACATTTATTTCCGTTATCAGGTACCTGTAACACAAGTTCTTTACGAACTTAGCACGGGACCAGTTAACGTGGCGTGATTGTTAGTAAATATTTGTTTATTTATTTAGTGGTGGGACTCCGCCGTCCTAAAACGCATACCCTGGAGGATGGTTGTGCCTCCGTGCTACCTCGCAATTGCCTCCATCACCTTTAAATTACATTATCAACACACGCAAGTAAAGCTAAACGAGCAATTAAAAACAAAATCTGCACTGATTTGTCACACAATTAAGGGACCGACTAATTATCGTACCGAATCCATTACGTTAATTAAGATTGTTTTTCTTTCCACTATAAATACCCGGCGAATCAAGAGGAAATCAGACTCACTGTGCTTTTCTGCACTCATCAACAATGTTTCCCGTTTGGAGATTGGGTAAGACATTTTAATCCTGATTTATAACAATATAAAATAATCACACCGTGGAGGGGAGCTTATTCCATAGCCGGATGGTGCGTGGCAAAAAAGATCTCTGGAAACGCACAGTGGATGACCGCAGTGGCTCCAGGTAGTATGGATGAACTCTACTCCGGTGGCGGGCGGTGCGATGGTAAAAACGAGATGCCGGTATCATCTCGAATAATTCCTCCTCATCGGTGTTTCCCGAGCGCTATGACATGTCCTTCTTCAAACGAGGCTTATGGGGAGTATTAAGCGGTAGGCAGCGGCTTGGCTCTGTCCCTGGCATTGCTGAAGTCCATGAGCGACGGTAACCACTCACCATCAGGTGGGCCGTATGCTCGTCTGTCTACAAGGGCAATAAAAAAAAAAATACCACACACACGGCTTAAGCTGTATTTCCATGTTGTGGATGCCGGTAACGAGAAAAGTAGAAATATATATATTCAGACTCCACGATACTAGTTCTTAGACCAAGGATTAATTTTAGACCACTCGAGGAGGTTTTAGCAAACAACCATCATGGACTGGCAGAAGCAAAATAAAAAAACCATTTATTAAACGGAATTTTCTGTAATTATGTTTTATTTTTTTGGATATTGAGTGTAGAGCATAACTCGTTTCACACCAGGTCTCTTGGTTCTGGCCTGCCATCTTGCTTCCACGCAGAATCTTGGTAAGGGAAATGGATTCGGATCAACATGCCAACAGGCGGATCCCATGCCGCATCCGTACGACACCCGCAGATATTTTAAATGTAACAACTCCGTGATGCGCGAAATGGCTTGTCAGAACGGGTACAAGTTTAACCCGAACACTTTGGTTAGTATAATATCTCTAATTTATGATCTATATATTAATACGTGAAGCAAAAACTTTGTATCCCTTTTTACGAAAATTGCGCGGACGGAGGAGTATGAAATTTCCCACACTTATAGAGAATATAGAGAAGAAGTGCACAATGATAATATTTTTTCAAAATTATGCATTAATAATAATACATTAAATCAATAAAGAAAACATTATACACACTACCATGTGTTTGACGCACACACGCATGCACACTATTTATTGTCAAAGTTTTGTTCTTGACGTCTGTTGCCACATTGAGCATAGATTAAATATTGTTTGTCTTTATTAATAATTTTCTATAGTCTTGGCGAAATTTGTGATTATAGAAGTATAATAGTCTTTGAAAATAGAATCTTAATAGTGTACAAACTTATAATTTCAATTAATTATAGTCGAATTTCGATTACCGGGCAACCACTGGTATCTCTAATAATATCTCTAATAATATCTCTATCCAATATCTGTAACTATACTTGAGACCTTAGAACTTATATCTCAAGGTGTGTGGCGCATTTACATTGTAGATTTCTATGGGTTCCAGTAACCAATTAACACCAGGTGGGCTGTGAGATCATCCACTCATCTCAGCAATAAAAAAAAGAATAGTAATAATATCTTCTTAAAGATTTGTTTTGTCATGAACTCCTGTATTAAAACGTCTTCAGAAAATATTGATACCTAATCCTAATCTTTAGTAACTAAACGGTAATAATCTTCCAGAGATGCGAATCAACGAAATATCGAATCATCAAAAACCATTTCCTCGACATTCAGTCAAACAAATGGTGTTTCGGCGGCGTACTCAACAGAGCCATTACCATCTCGAAGACTATAGGGGCTACCATCATAAAATGGATAAACAGTCACTCAATAGTGCGCACTACCTTGCGCATTGTCATGTCGATCATAGAGAAAGCTGTGAAGAGTCTCTGTTCGTACTTCATGTACATCTGTTCATCAAAAACGGATAAATCCTGGGGTGGTTGGTTCGTTGACTGCCAGGATTGTCACAACAGGCCCAAAAATGGCATGTTCGAAAACGATATGAACAACGCACTTGCCCAAGGGATGAGCATGGGCATTAAAATGACCGGCAGCTCGTCCACGAGACTTACTTCATCGTTGAATTCAATTGAGAATGGTAAACTAGAAGCTGTACCATTGAAATTGGACTTATCTCGGAGACAGGGATCCACTCCAACTGAACACCACGATTCATCGGCGAGACAAGAGGTACCTTCCACGGACAACAAAAATGTGGTGCCTCCTAGGCAAGAAGAAGAACATCCATCAAATAATATCAAAGATCCCGCATCTGCGGCAAAAGGAAAGTCCGAACAGGAAGATTACGCGAACGAGGGCGAAGATAACGATGGTGCCTTAACCAGATACGGTGGAAAGGACCCGTCGTGCGAACCGCCGATTCCTATTTGTCCTATTGGAACGACCAGGGAGTATAACATGCCAGACCCAGCCGACTGCAGATACTACTACGTGTGCACCCCTAACGGAATGTTCAAGCGCATGTGCCCTCTCGGTTACAACTTGAGTCCAGTTCACCTGGTAAGTTCTGATTGCTTCATCTCCGCCCCCTTCGTCCCCGTCCCCTTCATCCCCGTATCCATTTAACAAGTCGTTTCCAGTTTTGTTAAAAGACGCTGCGTTGGGATCCGTTATGCGTTTGGGATGTGTTAAGTTCCTGCTCGCTGAAGTTGAATTGGAATTTTCTTAATATTGGCCAACGTAAATTAGAGATACTAGTGGTACCACCACCCTGCCTATTTCTGCCGTGAAGCAGTAAGGCGTTTCGATTTTAAGGGCGGGGCAGCCGTTGTAACTATACTGAGACCTTAGAACTCATATCTCAAGGTGGGTGGCGGCATTTACGTTGTAGAGGTCTATGGGCTCCGTTAACCACTTAACACCAGGTGGGCTGTGAGCTCGTCCACCCATCTATGCAATAAATAAATAAATTATTTGACCCTCTGACTGATATGAGAGAGAGAAGAGTGAGTGTTGAGATGACGGCTGATAGAAAAGTTCATAGTGCCCACCCCACCTAGTGGGATAAGGTGGACACAAAGAAAACCAATCCTCTGACTGCGTGTAGGGCCCTGGTGCCCTACGCGGAATACTGAAGTAATTATGTCCATTTCTGTTATATTCGATAAGGCACCGGAGTATCTAGTAGACTATGGGAAAGACGAATCCGAAGAACTGAAAATAAATCTATTTCAAAGATACCTAAAAGGCTAAAACAAACTTTAAAAGTACATAATCGACGTAATTAATTCAGTGCGTCACGTAGGGCACTGGGGACCTACACAGCGATCAAAGGGTTAATCAATTTAAAAATATAATTAAAATTTTGAAAAACTTAAAAAAAGCATTGTGTTAAGTAAACACGTGAAAAGGTTTTTTTTTAAAATTGCTACTTCTGAAATGTGATTTTTTTTCTTATACAAAAGTACAAGATTATAAAATTACAGTACAAGATTATAAGATTGATCTTATAATCTTCACTATGCCTTCTCATTTTGCTGGAAATAATATAATGACGATGTTTTATTAATGTTCACGACACGCGAGAACCGAAGACATTGTATGTTTAGTTAAATAATTTCGTTCTTGTCACCGGTCACCGTCCTCGTCGAACCCGTCGCTTGCGACGAAGGCCTCGACGAGCGAATTAACCCATAGACACAGCCCACTGAGTTTCTCGCCGGATCTTCTCAGTGGGTCGCGTTTCCGATCCGGCGGTAGATTCTGCGAAGCATTGCTCTTGCTAGCAACACTCCGCTTTGAGCCCCGAGAGCTCACCTACACGTTTGAAATAGCCTCTCAAGGGATAGCATAGGTAGGAAAAAGTAATCTTGTTAATTGTTTGTTTAATATTTTTAGGTGTGCATGCCGGTTGCCGACGCGGGATGTGCCCAATGGATACCGCCTCCGCACTGCATTTACAAAGGTATGTACGCGCGAACATTCCCAATAACCCGCAGTCTAACGCGACATCCGATGTCATCGTGTCAAAAAATGCGATGCCAGAGTTCAAATTGGTTCGACAATGAAGACGTTAGCTCATATTGTACATACACTAAGCCCTCACGAGTAGGATTCACCATTCATCTTATATTTTTAAAAGGGGCCCTCTCATTGCGACCTATCACTAATTGGCGGTACCAACCTTGTAGAACCTACCAACTAAACAGTTACCCTAAATAAGTAACTTGCATTACGGTTCCTATTACTTAATTTTGCATTTACCGAATGACTACGAGGTGATCTTAGCGAGTAAACATTATTGAACAAAGGGTATTCAAATAAAATGTTTTAGTTTGCAACTCGATAGGGAAATATCGTGATGTTAATTGACCTCCGTGAGCTCAGCCAGTCCTCCTCGTCCTCGCCTTGCTTTCCTCAACACTGAAGGTCGTGACTCCCACGCTCATTTTCCCCTCAATCTGCTACAATCCTTGGCTTCGTGGTAGACGTCGTGGAACATGATGTTCAGAGAAGATCGAATTTAGGTACCAGGGGCGCCCACCAACCAGATGGACCGACGACTTAGCGCGCACGGCGGGAAGTCGTTGGATGCGGAAGGCGGAAGACCGCATTCTGTGGAAGGCATTGGGGAAGGCCTATGTCCAGCAGTGGGCAAAAAGGCTGATGATGGTGATGACGATGATGAGTCTCCTTTGGGACATTTAACCTCTATCTTGGCTGTGACCATCAATTATTCGAGATTATGACCCTCTTTTCTGGCAATGTGTCCAAAGAACTCCGGTACCCTACAAAGGCATATGGTTAGCTCGCCCACAAGTAATGTTACAGCCAGAATAGTCCCAATCGGCTAATGGCTGATAGGCAGATAAAAAAATTTGACTAATCATAAAAACATAAGATTCGTTTTGTAAATGATAATGATTAACTCTCATTTCTGTTTGCAGCAAGTCACTGACCGCAGACACATGGCTGAACGAGAAACGGACTTACCGAATTTATTGAAATGTATCATTAAAAAGCAATAAATTATAAAACCAATGCGATGTTTATTTAAACACCGGCGAAACTCGGTTGGAATAGCACAGATTCTGATAAATCACGTGTATTTCCCAAAAAAAAACTTTCATACAAATCACATTTTGGCAATTACAAATACAACCTTAAATAAATCAGTCATAAGCGCAGTTGTTGCTGTTTTATGACGTAAACCTCACGTTTTTTTTTTTTTTTTTTTATAACAACTAAGAGGCAAACGAGCAAGACGGGTCACCTGATGGTAAGTGATTCACCGCCGCCCACGGTCACCAGCGTTTACGCCAGTGCGTTGCCTACCCTTCAGATAAGAATATGCTCTTTTCTTGAATAACCCAATGTCGCAGTTGTTGGGGAAGACCGCTGATGGCAACGAATTCCAGAGATTTACTGTGCGTGGCAGAAAACTGTTTTTAAAACGCATTGTAGTGGAACGCCAACCATCCAGATGGTGCGGATGATAGTTCCGGCGAGACGATCGGTTGCGAAAATCAGCGGCTTCTATTAAATTGAACAACTCCTCGGAACACTCCCCATTGTAAATTCTGTAAAGTATGCATAGGGAAGATAGATCCCTACGCAGTGCCAAAGGATCTAGCCGATCGGCAAGTACAGGATCGTCGACAATCCGAGATGCCCTACGTTGGATTCGGTCAAAGGGAGATAGCTGATAACCCGGAGCCCCGGCCCAAAGGTGGCAGCAATACTCCATGTGAGGCCGCACCTGCGCCTTATACAGCTTAAGGCGGTGAGGCGGCTTGAAGTACTGTTTGGCCCTGTTGAGTACTCCGAGTTTTTTGGAGGCCATTTTAGCCTTGCTCTCCAAATGACCGCCAAACTGGACAACACTCGAAATGTCTACGCCCAGAATGCCCATGTTCGACTTGGCACAAAGGTGAGTGTTTCCGAAGAGTGGCGATGCGACAAAGGGGGCTTTTTTAGCGGTGAACGCGCAAACTTGAGTCTTAGAAGGGTTAAACTGGACTAGATTTAGTCCCCCCCAATCGGAAATCTTCACAAGGGATGATTCGATTTCAGACACAAGTTTGTTCCGACACTCATCGACGTGATCCCGAGAGATATTGCTGCGGCCGAAATACAGTGCATCCACGGTACTGTCATCCGCATAGCAATGAATGCCACTGGTATGCAACAAATCATTGATATGCAGAATGAACAATGTCGGGGATAACACGCAGCCTTGGGGAACACCAGCATTTACGGTCCGGGGGTCCGAGCATGAGCCGTCTACGACGACTTTAACTCTCCGTTCCGCAAGGAAACTGCCGATCCACCTACAAAGTCTCTCAGGAAGCCCATAGGAAGGAAGCTTCGATAGTAAGGCTTTATGCCAAACCCGATCGAAGGCTTTCGCAATGTCCAAACTAACGCCTAGTGCCTCACCCCTACTCTCAACCGCCTGCGCCCAACGGTGAGTTAGTAAAGCCAAAAGATCACCAGCTGATCGGCCTTTGCGGAAGCCATATTGGCGGTCGCTGATCAGCTGGTGCTCTTCCAGGTAGCCCATGAGCTGGCGGTTGATTATGGATTCCATAATTTTGGAGAGTAAGGAGGTGATAGCGATAGGCCTGTAGTTGGACGGATCTGAGCGGTCGCCTTTTTTAGGGATCGGGTGTACTAGAGCCGTCTTCCATGAATGTGGGACAACGCCGAGGACATAAGAGTGTCTGAATAAGCGCGTTAAAACCGGTGCCAGCTCTGGAGCACACACCTTCAGCACAATAGGAGATATTCCATCGGGCCCACTCGACTTGTTGACATCCAGGGAGAATAGTGCTTTCCGCACAGCACACTGTGTGAAGCGGACGTCCGCCATTGTGGTTTCACACCTCGGGATGGTAGGAGGAGTGTTCCCCCTGTCGTCAAGAGTCGAGTTTTCCGCAAAGATAGAGCCAAGAAGATCGGCTTTCTCCCTTGCGGAATAGGCCAATGAACCATCCTCCCCGCGCAAAGGTGGAAGCGTCGACCGACAGAAATTACCCTGGACAGCCTTGGCGAGAGACCAGAACGCACGAGAGCCAGATGGCAGGCGCGCCAGTCTCTCGCCAATTCTCCCAACGTAATTTGATTTTGCCAATGCAATTTGCTTCTTAAAGAACCTGGAAGCAGAGTTGTACTTCTTCTTGAGTGAGTCAGAGTTTACATCCTTAGCGGCCTTTGCCCTAGCCCAAGCCTGGTAGCATTCCCGCTTGCGACGATGTGCGTCACGGCAGGACCCACCAAACCAGGGCCGAGACCTGCCACCGACAGGCACCGCTGAGTTAGGAACAAATAATTCCATGCCCTGCAGCACGACGCCGGCAACCGAGTCAGCGCAGGTGCTAGGATCCTCTGACTTGAAGCAAATCTGCCCCCATGGGTAGGATGCAAAGAAAGAGCGCATCCCGTTCCAGTCTGCTGACCTGTAGTGCCAAACACGTCGTCTACCAGATGGAAGTGGTTGTGACGAGACGGTGAGAGGCACCACGCTCCGAACTAGGCAATGGTCCGATGACCCGAGAGGAGCATCGACCCATACCCGAATGGGTTCGGGGCGAGAGGTCAGCAGAAGGTCCAATAAGGAAGGCGAATGGTCTTCCACATCCGGCACACGTGTGGGAGAAGGTACCATCTGCGTCAGACCATTGGCAATGGCAAAATCGTGAGCAGACCTTCCCGCATGGTCAGTACGTGTTGACCCAAGCCAGTCAGAGTGGTGGGCATTAAAGTCGCCCAAAACCACAATTTCTGCGGTAGGAATCTGCTCAAGTATTCTGTCAGTGGACACCTGCAGGTGCTCGAAGAGCCGGTCAATTTCCGAATTTCCGCTATGAGACCTGTAAAGGCACGCGTAGACGCGAATGTGATCCTCACAATCGACGCGCACCCAAAGGGTCGACAGGTCTCTGCCTTCAAGACTGCTGAGCCTACGGTAACAAATTCCCTCCCTGATGTACACACACACGCCGGCGCGTGGCACAAAAATGTGCTCCAGGCTATAGGCCGGGTACTTTAGATATGAAGTGTCAGTTGGGGAGGAAATCTGCGTCTCCGTCAGGAAAAGCAAATCTGGCCTTTCCGTCTCGAGATGGTGGTGGACGGCATTTAAGTTCGAGTGAAGTCCCCTGATGTTAGAAAAATCCACTGCTAAAGTGGAGGGGGACTTCCTCGTTATTGGGCTCAGTTTGCACCCAGCAGCTGTGATAAACGACGCTTGATGTGCCCCCCCAGAATACGATGGGCAGCCTGAGCCAGAGCGAGAGGATAGCATCTCTCGCTCTCGCTCAGAGAGGGATTCTCCAGTCTCTAAGAGACTGGTACCCTCCTGGGGTATTTTATTTGTATCACTCGTCGCCATCACAAAAATCAAAAATAGCATAAGGGGTGGGGAAGGAAAGGGAAGGAGAAAGGTCATAGAGGGTGAGGAATTGTGGGACAGGGAATAAAAAGACAGGAAGGGGCCAACTGATACTCATTCCCACACGCAGCGCAACAGTCCCTAGAAAATCTGTTGCGATACGTGTAGTATAATGGAAGTGCCAGTTGCTATTTGGGCCCCGAGGTAGAGGGATAAGGGCGCCGGGACTCTCACTCACCAGTCGAAACGCGGTGGCCTCTAGGAGGCCCCCACTTCACGCTGATTTTCTGTGAGAGGGTAGTGTTTCACCGGTCGATCCTGCCCACCTACGTGCTACAGCGAACTGCAGACTTGGATCTACTACTCTCTACGTGTTTCTCATCTGATGAAACTCCCTCTGCTTTCACTAATTGGAAGGATAATGATGGTAGATAATGCTGGTAGTCATAAGTCTTCAGCAAAGCGCCAGCATGCTAGCTTTTTACTGATGGTAAGACCTCTTGTGAGTCCGCACGGGTAGGTACCACCACCCCGCCTATTTCTGCCGTGAAGCAGTAATGCGTTTCGGTTTTAAGGGTGGGGCAGCTGTTGTAACTGTACTGAGATCTTAGAACTTATATCTCGAGGTGGGTGGCGCATTTACGTTGTAGATGTCTATGGGCTCCAGTAACCGCTCAACACCAGGTGGGCTGTGAGCTCGTCCATCCATCTAAGCAATATATAAATAAAAATCCAATTCCCCTGGATGCGATTCGCGTAGAACCATCGTGACGAACCTTGCCTATGTCTAGCAGTGGACATTTGTGGGCCGATGCTGATGCGGCTACGCTAACCAATCTTCGGCTGGTAGGCATTATAAATTGTTCCAGTGGTGGAAAAAATGCACTGGAATTCGTAAGGTTTCATAGTTCCGTCATAGATAGAGCGACGAAGAGATATACCTTGCTCCTAGCCTACCTCTGATTCTGCCTCATCTGAGACTTGGACGCAATTTTTTCAGCGACAGGGACTTAGTTCAACCACATAGCGTGTCCTGAGTACGACTAAAACATGGCGAAAGTCCGACGATTTCTTGGTAACTCAAAAAAAGGTCTAGTTGTTTCTGAGCATTCGCGATTTCAAATTTAAATCTTAATAATGTAAATTTTCCTTGGGGTCTCCTGTTAGACGGATGCCAAATAATATAAACATTGATTTCTTCAAACTATAATCATCTAGCAATCGAATGAACTCTTCCTATATGCCAATATGCCATCTCCAATTGATATCCCTTATTTTAGTTGAGGTCTTATGTATTTCACTTTTACATCCAAACGACCGTCTGGTGTAGTGGTAAGTGACATGGTCACTACACAAGGGGGTCGCGGGTTCGAATCCCGCCAAGGGGAGATATTTGTATGATAAATATAAATGTCTTTTCCAGGGTTATGGATGTATATTAAATATATGTATGTGTATAATAAAAATCTTACATTTATTTCCGTTATCTGGTATCTGTAACACAAGTTCTTTACGAACTTATCACGGGACCAGTTAAAGTGGCGTGATATAAAAATAAAAAAAAACTTGAGTCGTTGACAAAAAAAAAAGTAAAGAAATTCCCTTAACTTTTTTACGGAACAATGAAAAATCATA